AGCACTATTTGCTGCAATGTGCAAAAATAATTTTTTTCCAACATTTTGACATATCTCAAGAACTATTGAACCAATCGAGCTGACACTCAGCGCGTTGTGCTCAGCAGGTTGCGTTTGACCGAATAGCACTATTTGCTGCAATGTGCAAAAATGAGTTTTTTCCAACATTTTGTCATATCTGACGAACTTTTGAACCAATCGAGCTCAAACTCAGCGCGTTGTGCTCAGCAGGTTGCGTTTGACCGAATAGCACTATTTGCTGCAATGTGCAAAAGTAAGTTTTTCCAACATTTTGTCATATCTCACGAACTATTGAACCAATCGAGCTGAAACTCAGCGCGTTGTCCTCAGCAGGTTGCGTTTGACCGAATAGCACTATTTGCTGCAATGTGCAAAAATAAGTTTTTTCCAACATTTTGTCATATCTCACGAACTATTGAACCAATCAGGCTGAAACTCAGCGCGTTGTGCTCAGCAGGTTGCGTTTGACCGAATAGCACTATTTGCTGCAATGTGCAAAAATAAGTTTTTTCCAACATTTTGTCTATCTCACGAACTATTGAACCAATCGAGCTGAAACTCAGCGCGTTGTGCTCAGCAGGTTGCGTTTGACCGAATAACACTATTTGCTGCAATGTGCAAAAATAAGTTTTTTCCAACATTTTGTCATATCTCACGAACTATTGAACCAATCGAGCTGAAACTCAGCGCGTTGTCTTCAGCAGGTTGCGGTTGACCGAATAGCACTATTTGCTGCAATGTGCAAAAATAAGTTTTTTCCAACATTTTGTCATATCTCACGAACTATTGAACCACTCGAGCTGAAACTCGGCGCGTTCTGCTCAGCAGGTTGCGTTTGACCGAATAGCACTATTTGCAGCAATGTGAAAAAATAAGTTTTTTCCAACATTTTGTCATATCTCACGAACTATTGAACCAATCGAGCTGAAACTCGGCGCGTTGTGCTCAGCAGGTTGCGTTTGACCGAATAGCACTATTTGCAGCAATGTGAAAAATAAGTTTTTTCAAACATTTTGTCATATCTCACGAACTATTGAACCAATCGAGCTGCAACTCAGCGCGTTGTGCTCAACAGGTTGCGTTTGACCGAATAGCGCTATTTGCTGCAATGTGCAAAAATGAGTTTTTTCCAACATTTTGTCATATCTCACGAACTATTGAACCAATCGACCTGCAACTCAGCGCGTTGTGCTCAACAGGTTGCGTTTGACCGAATAGCGCTATTTGCTGCAATGTGCAAAAATAAGTTTTTTCCAACATTTTGTCATATCTCACGAACTATTGACCCAATCGAGTTGAAACTCAGCGCGTTGGGCTCAGCAGGTTGCGTTTGACCGAATAGCACTATTTGCTGCAATGTGCAAAATAAGTTTTTTCCACCATTTTGTCATATCTCACGAACTATTGACCCAATCGAGCTGAAACTCAGCGCGTTGTGCTCAGCAGGTTGCGTTTGACCGAATAGCACTATTTGCTGCAATGTGCAAAAATAAGATTTTTCCAACATTTTGTCATATCTCACGAACTATTGAACCAATCGAGGCTGAAACTCAGCGCGTTGTGCTTAGCAGGTTGCGTTTCAACGAATAGCACTATTTGCTGCAATGTGCAAAAATATGTTTTTTCCAACATTTTGTCATATCTCACGAACTATTGAACCAATCGAGCTCAAACTCAGCGCGTTGTGCTGCTCAGCAGGTTGCGTTTGACCGAATAGCACTATTTGCTGCAATGTGCAAAAATAAGTTTTTCCAACATTTTGTCACATCTCACGAACTATTGAACCAATCGAGCTGAAACTCAGCGCGTTGTGCTCTACAGGTTGCGTTTGACCAAATAGCACTATTTGCTGCAATGTGCAAAAATATGTTTTTTCCAACATTTTGTCATATCTCACGAACTATTGAACCAATCGAGCAGAAACTCAGCGCGTTGTGCTCAGCAGGTTGCGTTTGACCGAATAGCACTATTTGCTGCACTGTGCAAAAATAAGTTTTTTCCAACATTTTGTCATATCTCACGAACTATTGAAGCAATCGAGCTGAAACTCAGCGCGTTGTCCTCAGCAGGTTGCGTTTGACCGAATAGACTATTTGCTGCAATGTGCAAAAATAAGTTTTTTCCAACATTTTGTGATATCTCACGAACTATTGCACCAATCAAGCTGAAACTCAGCGCGTTGTGCTCAGCAGGATCCGTTTAACCGAATAGCACTATTTGCTGCAATGTGCAAAAACAAGTTTTTTCCAACATTTTGTCATATCTCACGAACTATTGAACCAATCGAGCTGAAACTCAGCGCGTTGTGCTCAGCAGGTTGCGCTTGACCGAATAGCACTATTTGCCGCAATGTGCAAAAATAAGTTTTTTCCAACATTTTGTCATATCTCACGAACTATTGAACCAATCGAGCTGAAACTCACCGCGTTGTGCTCAGCAATTTGCGTTTGACCGAATAGCACTATTTGCTGCAATGTGCAAAAATAAGTTTTTTCCAACATTTTGTCATATATCACGAACTATTGAACCAATCGAGCTGAAACGCGGCGCGTTGTGCTCAGCATGTTGCGTTTGACCGAATAGCACTATTTGCTGCAATGTGCAAAAATAAGTTTTTTCCAACATTTTGTCATATCTCACGAACTATTGAAGCCATCGAGCTGAAACTCAGCGCGTTGTGCTCAGCAGGTTGCGTTTGACCGAATAGCACTATTTGCCGCAATGTGCAAAAGTAAGTTTTTTCCAACATTTTGTCATAGCTCACGAACTATTGAACCAATCGAGCTGAAACTCAGCGCGTTGTGCTCAGCAGGTTGCGTTTGACCGAATAGCACTATTTGCTGCAATGTGCAAAAATAAGTTTTTTCCAACATTTTGTCATATCTCAGGAACTATTCAACCAATCGAGCTGACACTCAGCGCGTTGTGCTCAGCAGTTTGCGTTTGACCGAATAGCACTATTTGCTGCAATGTGCAAAAATAAGTTTTTTCCAACGTTTTGTCATATCTCACGAACTATTGAACCAATCGAGCTAGCCTGCATGGCAGGCGGTACGTAGGAAATACCGCCTGCCGCAAAACTGGGTGTAAATGAACTACCGCCCCTGAAGCATCAACGCCATTTATAGATGCATTAATTAAGTAAATATTCAAAATTAGCCACTCCCAAGATGCTCCCAAGTCCCAACTGCCCAACATAAAATAAATTCCTTTATTCTCATCATCGCCCGACTGAATTTTAAAATCCTCGTGAAAACGTTTTATTTTTCGTTATACAATATAAATGTACCGCCCGACAAAATAATTCAAGACAGTTAATTTTTTCATATTTTATATAGAGTTTTTATTGCCATTTTAAACTTCCAATTTGAAACAAACAGAATTTTGAGTGAAATTTCATTGTATTTTAAAGAAACTCAGTCATTCTGTCATTGTTCGTGGAGATACGAACTATTGATATATAAATTATATAAATATAAAATATAAAAAATAAATCTCCCACTGTCTTCGACATTTCAAAGTGTAGACTGTGTCTAGTGATGAGAATCAAGGAATTTACTTTATGTGTTAATATAAACCAAGCCCGTTTAGCCGTTTAGCTACCTTAAAACGGTGGTTTAATAAGCTCAAAATACAAAGCATGCAAGTCTATACTATAGATTCATCATCAGTCAACAACCAAACTGAAAGTATTGAACCTTATAGAACGATAGTTTTATTTGTTTACAACTATACATATTCAACGGGTATATAAGAGTTTAACTGTTATTTGATAATTACTGCATCAACCGGCCCCTTGTTTATACTTTGGAGGTTCGTATATAATATCTATCAAGTATCTTTGGTTCAGAACATGACTGATAGGCCTATATGGAAATCCCACTGTTCGATTCAGTGAAGAAATATCTCCTAATTTCTATCGATAGTTTTAGTAAAATGTCAACATTATTGCGATTTATGGCCTTTGAAAGTCAAGCGAGATAGTATATTATCAAATTAATACGCATGTAATTGTCTGAACGAAAATATAGACTAGCCCATACCTTTCGCCGATCATAACTTCGGCCCCTTCGGACGTATCTTCTTTGTTAAATATTCTTGTTCGAATCTCTATCAATAACACTATTTAGAGTGTTATTTTTCAGCTTGTATCTTTTAATTTGCTTCTTTTATTATGTTATTCCATTTCTGGTCTGACTTGACGTGAACTAATTTCAAAACGCAGAGTTTCAAAACGTCAAAACATTTGGTTAATGATTAACATTTAACCGAATTTAGCCGTTGATTGACAACTACATAAAAATACTAACCAATCCGTTTTTCCCGTTCACCAGCGGACGGGTAATTCAAAAACCCCTAGTTTTGCGGCAGACGGTATTTCCTTTGCTTCCCTAATTTTCGCTGCCCGTAGAAATACCGCCTGCCATGCAGGCTAGCTAGAGGGCCGTGTTGGCCGTGTTATCGCGGCCAAAAAGGGAAAAACACGGCTAGATAAAATGAACGCGGTTTTATTATTTTTATAAGGCCGTGTTTAGGTTCATAAAATAACAGACAGAATTTCTTCCTATTTACTGTACGTCGTAAGAAAGTTTGTAAAATCTACGTTTGTAAAATCTATGTTTTAATGTTTTGATGGATAATGGGAAGTGGATGGTGTTAAAATGGTTTTAAATGCCCCCAAGAGTTGCTGAAATAACTTGCAAAGCATAGAACAACCACAGTTATTGTCTGTTGTTGGCGAGCATAACTAGAACCGTGAATTTGGCTATTTGAGGTAATTGACATGTGCACACCCTGGTCATTTAGAAACACGCCCAAGATCTAAAATCCTAGCTAAGACCCTGGGTGGGCTATACCACAGTACATCTTTTCCCAGGGTGGGGGCATATCCGTTTCTTTCCAAAAATTCTATTGTCCAGGGTTTGGTCCCGAGGTGGAATATCCGAGGACACAGCTGAAATTGACTGATATACATTACCATGCTGCATGTAAAACTAAAACTGAAGATGCTGAAACTAAAATTGATTTTACTAACAAATGATCAGAATATAAAGGTATCAGGGTTGTGCAGAGGGTGTGTAGAGGTTGTGTCATAATACATGTTTAGAGTAACCATGCTTGCTCTCCATGACAACAACTATCTCCAATCTTCCATTTATTACAAAATATATTGAATTATTCAGGTTTCACGATTTGTAGTATTCTGATGATACCAGTTTTGAAAGTTTGGATACCAAATGTCGAAACCTTGGTACCCTATGATTATTACAGTAATTATATCATGATTACAGTAATTATATCATAAGTAGTATTTTGCAAATTTGTTAAATTTACGTGATCAAGTTAATTACTAACACAGGTTAGGTTCCTTATTCACACCTAGAATGCGTAGATAAATCAGGTCGTGCTTCTAGCTTCGTCATTTGCGATACAAATCCTGTTTTATGTTTAATTTTCCTTGTTCATGAGTATACATAGTAGTTTCGGCATGATTGAGAACGTTTTACCAGTCATATGCATATTACGTTAATCCTATACGTACTCAATAAACTACGTTTGCTTAGACGTTCTCAAAAATTTCAGCAAGTTTAATAATATTCATGAATTGTGTTTGATTTGGCGTATTTTTAACGACTCTACGGTGTAATCTTTGTTTCACCTTTTCGAGCGATAAAGTGTGGTTCGGGAGCCGGTTTCTGAAACATTCAATTTAAAATAAGTTTCATACAATTGTAAACGTTCGTCCTAATATGTGACATTTGAAATAGATTTGCGAGTGTGTTGCTTTGAAACATCTGACTGAATCAGATTTATACTGTTCGAGCATTTCTGTCATCTTTAAACCTGATTGACGTGTTACATTTATTTTGCATCTTTATTTATTTTACTCACTTTATTTTTAGGGTTATGGTTACTCAAGAACTGGTAATCCCACCAGAGATTGTTTTGAAAAATGTGTTGCGTCTTTGGAAGACGCCAAGCATGGTAAGGACTAAGGCGCTATCTCTTCTGCACCTAAATCTCTCTATACCATGAATTTGGCACATTATTGTAGTTAAGTATTCATCTCGCGGCCGCATTAGCAAGATGGAGACAAATTTTCTAATGCTCTAGAAAAATAGGAAACAATGATGTCGAGGCATTTGAAAATCCATCACTGTTGCGGTTTTTGCCGAAGGAGGTAAAATGTGTCACCAATTGAAGAACCCGGGCAAATACTAGATAAGCTTTAGGCAAAGTATAAATGTTGTATTTATCAATATAGACCTGTTATACATACCTTTCGTTTTACAACTCACCGCAAAGCGTACAAGTAAGAAATAATTTTGAATATAGAACATGCCTTGTTTTAAATAACAAGAAGTAAACAACTGCATGGATTGTGCTTCGTATGCTTGGCTTTCAGCCATTCATTTTATCCCTGTAGGCATTGCAACAGCATCTGGCTTGGCTGCCTTAACAACGCTAACGCACCTATTACGTGCTGGTGATCACGTGGTTGTTTGTGATGACGTTTATGGAGGTATACAGTAGATATGATAATCCAACATTTAAGAACCTAGGTATCTCACGTTAAGCCTCGTTTTGATGTGATTAGGACAGTTACGAGCATGTCAAGGTGGCTGATGTGAAAGACGCTCGATCTATCGCTGAAAACGTTTGCCTGCCAGCAAAATTTGAACAAGGCAAGGCCTATTCAGATAATATTTTGTGGTCAATTCAGAAATATTTACAATATTGTCCCAAACATTGTTGTAGGAACCAACAGATATTTCTCCAAGGTTGCATCCAGATTTAACCTAGATACGAGTATGGTTGATGTGACAGATGTGGATAAATTGCAACAAGCCATAAAGTCCAATACAAAGGTGATAGAGAATTTACGATTTTCTTATTTTCTGATGATGCATGACTTCGAAATAAAGTCGCAAAGTTAAAGTTTCTAAAACTTGCATAAATATTTATGTAATTTCAACAAAATTGGCATTGTATAAAGTTGCTCGAAAATGGCGATCCGGAGATCGTTAAAATCACAATATCGCGATATCAGATCACTGATGTCACAATAAACAGATTCGCGTTTGTTTCTGGAGGATCTAAAACCCAGGCTTATTCGAGATGAATAAAGGAGATGCACATCATGCATGAATAATAGATTATCATAATGTGTTCTGTGTGTGATAGTGGATATCCCATATAACAATTTAAATTTATTAAGGTTTTACATCGGAGGAAAGGCTATAGCAAAAAAAATTCGCAATACAAGTATATTTTCTTATCAGAACAAAATGCATACGAAAGTTAAAAAATGAATTCAAAGTTCAACTAGTTAAAAACGTCTGTTTGAGTGTACCATCTAAAAATCCTGGTAATACTAGTAGAATACTGAGTATAGAATAGTGTATGATAAGCGTAACTAAGCGTGTATGCATGTTATCACCTTATTATAGTTCCATATTGATTTACAGTAGTTCAGTGTACTCTTGACATGGTGTACGTATCCTGCATGGTTTTATCTGGTAAACGTGTTTCGGTATATCTAATATTCCAATTCAGCAATCCAAGTTCTCCTTAAATTTTGTCTATAGATGTTTCCAAATCTCTTCTTTGAGCCCGGTTGTTTTCTGCCTCCCATTGGATGAACTCCAGATAGATCTCCGGGTAGTTTTGCATAACGAAATTGGCGAAACGTCTAAGTCTAGTCAGTTCAATGAGTTCATCACGAATACTCTGGCGGTAACGCCGGTTATTCCTGTTACATCGGCTTCGTTGATCCATTGCTTTGCTGCGTAATCCATGCAGTAATGGATTTGGATTCGCGTCCTTCTTACAAATATATGTGATGTGGTCGGAATCATTAGAAGTTTAATGCGTTTTTTATGACCTTGATAATTAATGCAAGTTATAGCTATCGATTGAATTTGTTTAACGATCTGCGATGCTTACCGCCAATCATTATGAGAGCATATTATTAGTAATTTAGTTTACGCTTATTGACCGCAAAAGAAAAGCCGCAACTTCTAGTTATTTGAAAATATATATTCAAAATCTAAACTCGCGTATTTGTTGTTGGAGACACATATTTGTGGATTTGGTGTCTATTTGCGGAATTAAGCCGCAGATGTTAATGAATATTGTGACGTAATGATATCGAGATCACCAATGTGATTTTACTAATTATCTCGGGATTGCCTATTGTGACTTTAATGATAATGATCTCGGGATCTATAAATGGCGTACCTGATATCGGGATCGCCATTGTGAATTTGATTAATGAACTCGGGATCGCTATTATTCCATACTGTAATCTGCCACTTCACTCTTCAGCCCTAGAAGCACGTGTTGGCATTTGTACCATAGCAACGGAGCTAAAACGGTTGAAATGCGGACACTTATGGTGAATAAAGATGCTTCTTTTATAGCACCATACATATACTGTATAATACAGTAAAACCGCGCTTTCTAGATATATGAACAACCCTATACTCTAAATCTAACACAACCCTAACACTGTGTATTAATAAATTTATATATGTCGTCCACCCATGCCAGTACTTCGAATGGTAGAATTCACTTAGTAGACTTTCCACAAGTCCGCCTCAGAATTTTGCCCTAGCTTTTGGCAAGTGAGTAAAGTTGAGGCCCTGTTGAGGGAAGAGTAACTGCGCGAAGTAAAAATGACGTCATTTGAAAAGTCTATTCATATATAGTGCTTATGCATGAGTCAGACTTATGATACCATTCAGTTGAGCCCCAAGGCACTGAACCATGACACTGAGCCCAAGGCAATGAACACAAAAATGTGATTTGGTGTCAGGAACTTCGGTATACTTGATATGATATACTGCAAGGGCAGTTGTTGATCAGATTTAAGGAAGATGAGACCAGAGTAAATTCTGTACAGTAAATATATAGTTAATTTAATTCTAGATGGTCTGGATTGAAACTCCTACAAATCCACTGTTGACATTAATTGATATTAAAGCTGTAGCTGATGTTGCTCATAAAACTGAGGTAAAGCGTTTACTAATAGTTATTTTCACATATAACGGTTGATTCTGCAACGGGATCTCAGTGGTGAAAGACGATGTGCCACTGAAGTCCCATTCAGAATAAGAAGTAACAATATTTCAAAGACTGAAGTATGAAGGTTATAGGCAAAAAGCAATCAAAACGTCTACGGTTCAGTTTTACATCGAATCGAAGCTTATATAGAGTGCATGATAACGTATCTACCGCAATTGGCAATTGCGGTGCCCTAACAAAGTTTCGCATGGTTTGGCATCGTTTTATTATTTTGGCATTGCGTGCATGAGTTTGTTAGTCTTTGTTAGCGTTGGTAGTTGGTGCGGAATCAAAAGTCTTCAGTCTTGACATTTATTCAAAAATACAATGTTTTCGCGCGTGTGGTGCACTTGGTCTGCGCATGCTTCAGGGTACCGCAGTGTAGTATTGTGTCTGTTTCTATTATTAAAAGGACTTTCACAGTGTAGCTAGCCAGCGCTCAGTCAGTGCTTGGCTTATCAGAAACACAATGTTTGGGAACTATAGGTGTTTTGTTAGAAAAAGCAAGGGTTTATACTGCATGTGTGTATTTCTAATTATGCCGAACTCCGTGTTTTCCATATTTTTACATCAGACTCCGGAACTCTGGCTATAGGCTATATATACGGGAAACGTCGACTCCATTATTTTAAAATGGAAAGTTTATGTGATATGTTTGCAGCAATGAGTATTTCCTTGGAGGTGCCAAACGATTTGGTTGTGGATGAAGTATTTTATGAAGTGAAGAATGTTTGTGATTTGATGAATGCTGTGTTTTCCGAAGCGGTTGAAGCTATTCGGGTGATGCAATTGGAATATTACGAGCGTGCGAAGGAACATTATGCGAACTTGATAAAAGATCATGAAGTAACACTTGATTTTTTTGGGAATTTGAGAATTTTTGGGGAACTATCTGATGTATTGGAGCGAAGAACATTGTGCATAAGACACGTTTAGTAAAAAAAGTTATGTATTGACGTTATATAAGATACAAAGTTGTAAAAGAGATGTTTTGTAAAACTATACTGATGTTATGTGTATTTTTTTGAGAACATTTATTGAAGAACAAAGATTTTACATTTTACTGAGTTGTTCTCGTAGTTTATTTTCTAAATAATAATACGCTTTCTTGTGATCCGTTTCGAGAGATTTGAATGTTTCATTTGTCATAGTAAGTGTATTGAGAAAGTATATCTTTTTTACATAGGGGATTTTGCTTATCTATAGTTTTGGCTTTGTTGTGTCTTTAACAAAGGGTCGGACGGTAGGCTCGTCTTCATGTAGATTCACCCACTTCATACGACCTGTGGATGGATGCCTTATTTTGACAGGCCAATAATTTTCTCCGTTGATGTAGACACCCGGAAGGCCAGGATCAAAATTGTTGCGCGATGACGTATACATCTCTGATGGCATATCCTTCGGGAATGTTACGGACAGCCTGTGCTCCCAAGGTGTAGTTTTGCCACTCTGGGATAGTTGCATCCGACCGAGTAATATCTTGATGATGTTTAGGTAGTTTTCTTCCAGGCTTGATGCCAGAGACCTGTGTGGGCTCAACACCAGTATTGTTCTCTTTACTTTGGGTGGCGAAGAGATAAACATGGCAGTCGTCAAATAGATCTCCAAGAACTAGCTTATCGACGGGTGTGTCAGGTTTGTTATCCACCAACAAGTATCCAAACGGTTTTTCGATCTCTTTGCAATAGGCGTTCATAAAGTGTTAGGATGTTAGGGTTTGTAATCCAAGTGAGAATATATACATTTTAAGACCTAACCAGGAACGACTGCGAAAAATGCAGCACAAGGTCCTCTGGTAGGAATCGAACCTACGGCCCTGCGATTCCGGTGCAGCGCTCTAACCAACTGAGCTACAGAGGCCAGCTGTTGAGCTGTAACCGTAAGTTCATGTATATATAGGTAATCGGGTGTGCGGGTTGTGATAACGTGGACTTGAATAACTTAGTTGTTGCACTTCACTTGGTGGAATTAATATTAGGATGTTAGGGTTTGTAATCCAAGTGAGAATATATACATTTTAAGACCTAACCAGGAACGACTGCGAAAAATGCAGCACAAGGTCCTCTGGTCGGAAGCAAACATGCGTTCTCCAACAATTCCAATTTGTTTCCTATCACTAGGACTTCGGATGAGGGCAAGATATTGGACATTTCGGCTAACATCTGTATTAAGTTTCCCCTTAGGAAACATGTTTAGTGTGGCGGATATGTGCATGGATGTTTCCGAAGAGAGTTAAAAGCACGAAATTATGCACAGTAGCATCTTTTTATGAGCAGAACAACATGCAAAAGTGGGGCCATCGTGAAACTGTCTTTCTAGAGAGCTACGATGCTGTTAGCATTATTTGCTATTAAATTCTACTACAACAAAAAAATGTGAAATTTTGAATTCAATCGCGACAAATATAACTTGCATCATCAGAAAGCTTGTAAAAAACTACATAAAAAGACTTTTAAACAGTTTTTTTATTCTTCCAATGGTTATTGCTGTAAATTAGGCACATTATCTCGCTAAAAGTCCCTAATTAATTATTCGATGTTTGAAAATGCGTTTTTAACAGTTTATAATTCGAAAACTATTTCAGAAATAAAAAAAACTGTCTAAACGTCTTATATGCAGTTTTTTATAAGCTTTCTGATGATGCAAGTCATATTTGTTGTTATTGAATACAAAATTTCACATTTTGGCTATAATAGAATACAATAGAAGAAAGTCACTAATCACCCGTTTTCAGGAGTTAGCAGCAAAATACTCCCCCACTTCAAATATCTATTAAGCAAATCAAACTACATCAATTGTAAAAGTTTGATGCTTTTAACCTCAACGGGAACTACTGATCCATAATTTTACACATATCCGCCTCACTAGTTCTGAAGCAAAAGGATAACACTGGCGTTTCTATGACGACCCTGGGTAAATAATCTAGATACCACAGGACTGTCTGTCGCGTCGGCCATCAGATCATCCAGTATGATTATGTTGTTGTATTTCTCGGGCAAACCTCTCTCAAACCGGATGCTTTTCCCAAGAGATTTTCTCAACTCGTCGTAACGATCTTGCCATTGATTGTAGCACCAAAGAATGCGGATACTTCTTTGCTCCTCGTACACGATACGATTGTTTTCCAAAATTTGTTGGACGAAGTAAGTCTTTCCACTTTGACTGGGACCCACGACCAATAGCGAAAATTTATGGTGAAAGTTGAATTCCGGATAGGGCTTAGTCAAAGACGCTCTTACTCTTGGTATGGTGTTTGTTGGTTTTAGTACAGCACTTGTTTTCTTTCGAACACATCTCATTTCTTTCAGTATATGTGCCGGTCGTGCAGGTAGCCTGTTGTTTTTGCCTTTCATCTCCGTATAAGTTATGGACTTGACGCAAATGATCACTCATATACCGAAGACCAGGCTTGTTACAGACAGGACAGTCTCTTTTGTGTTTATAGGGCATATTGACACTTTGAAAGTTCAATTATAAATTGGGGTCGATGAGAGGTCGATGTTGGGTCGATGAGAGGTCGATGTAGGGTCGATTCTCTGGGATTCTGCAGGGGTCCCCTCGGAGTTCCCTCGGACGTATGAGCACCTGCTCAGAGCAACTCACGAGCAGGCATAAAGGTGCAGTGTTCTCCAATAAAAAGTCATTTTTAGACAGTCAATGCTAGCGGAAAGAGCTGCAAAGAATAATTTAGCGGTTACAATCTACGAAAACACGAAAAGGAATACTGTCCACTACGCCAACAAGAAAGAAACATGTCTCAAACAGACTCAGATAGCCAGAAAAGGGATTTCCAAGACGATGTCTCCACAACTTCAACTCAAGGGTCTGAAATTTCGACTGAGTCAGAAATTGAAGAAGAAATGGATCCTTGGATACCGTTGATAGAAGAAGCAAAGCAAAGAAGTAATATAGCTTTTGAGGAAATGAAAGAAAGCCTTATCAACAGTGGTCTAGATGAGCAATCCGCTAAGGACAAAGCTTACTCTAATATTCTGCCTAAACTCCAGAAGGAACTGGAAAATATTTATATGGATCATCTCTCATGGATGAGACAACTAAAGAAAGATCCAGTACATAAGAAAATAATGCACACAAAAGATGAACTTGTGGGAAACGATGATTTTGATCCAGAAGAAGCCATGGAAGCAGCTGTTGATAAGAGTTTGTTGATAAGTTTCTTATAAGAAGGCTTTTAAAGGGTTACAATTTTGATGAAGAGAATGATGATGATGAAGAGAATGATGATGATTAGACTCGATCAATAGGTCAAATATAGGATTGAAGTCAAGTACAGTATTGGCACGTAAAAACATACCAGTATTAATACACAGCATGTAAACGTCGAGTCGTTTCAATAAATTGCTTTTCCTGTCTTTTCTTGTCATTTTTTCTTACAAATCAAAATGGAAAAAAACACGAAAATGTATACATTTGTGTACTGATCGTTTCTTGCAGTGGCTTCCACGAATGAAGAATGTACACCCAGTCGTCGGGCCTAAACGGTCCTTATGAGCAGATGAGCATGTGCTCATGAGCAGTTATGAGCAGGTGCTCATTTCAATCTTAGGATTCAATTATTCAATCTTAGGATTCAATGATTCAATCTTAAAATTCAACTGATTCAATCTAGGATTCAATTATTCAAATGGAGCTTGGCTCCGAGCTATTTAGGGTGGCTGTGAGCCTATCGAGCTTGGCTCCGAATATCACACAGTATCTTAAGGTATCATACAGTATCGTAAGATATGATACAGTATCTTAGGATCTCAATATCTTAGGATATTATACAGTATCTTAGGATATCAATATCTTAGAATATCATACAGCATCTTAGGATATCATGCAGTATCGTACGATATCATACAGTATCTTAGGATATCGATATTTTGGACTAGTATTTTTGCACAAGTGAACATAACAAATCCTACAAGTTGATTGGTCAAATTTGACGTATTAAGCTGTTATATTCACCTACAGGTGAATATAACAAAACCGAAATTTTCAAAATGGCGGCCGGACGTTTTGTGGAAGTTACTGATAAAGAAATAAGCGAAATTAAAATAAATTCAGTCCCAAAAAACACAAAAGACTTGTGTAAAAATACTAAAACAATTATTCGCCCCAGGCTCGGTGATTATTGGGGAATATTCACCTCGACTTTGTCTCGGCGAATATTCCCCGATAATCACCTCACCTTCGGCGAATAATTATTAAATATCATACAGTATATATCTTAGGATATCATGCAGTATCTTAGGATATCAATATTTTAGGAAACGTTCGTGTGGTAAAACGATTTGTACTAAATTTCATAAAATTTGTATTCAATAATAACACATTTAATAATAATAATAATAATAATAATAATAATAATAATAATAATAATAATAATAATAATAATAATAAAACGATTTGTACTAAATTTCATAAAATTTGTATTCAATAATAACACATTTAATAATAATAATAATAATAATAATAATAAATAATAAAGATTTAATCTGGCATATCCATATTACATGGCTCTTCATCCATACATTTAAAAAAACTAACAAACTATTTCTAAATTTTTTCAACTGTCTTGTACAACCACAACTACAACTACAATATAAATAAATTTGAACAGTTAAAATCAGGTTATGTGAGAAAATTAATCAATCCTTATCAATCCTTTCTCTACCTTGATCTAATAAAATACTTTTAAGAGTAATCATATAATTTTTAAAATCCATTAGTTTCAAATGTTCTGGAAGACTATTAAAAACTCTAGCAGCATTGGATTGAAAACTGTCTTCAATGTTAGAATATTCAATTTTCAAACCACCGTCACAGTTACTACGCAGAACTCTTGAAACTCTTTTGACTTGGAGCGATAGATAACTTGGCCATTTGTCATCTTTTAGGGCCTGATACGCCAGTTTCCCAATACTGAACTCAATCCTTTCTTTGATTGGTAGCCATCTCAATGTTAGTACATCATTCACTTTCGCAAATTTACCAATCACAAAACTTGCCGCAGCATTCTGGACTTTTTGCAGTCGTTTGAGCAAATAATCAGGCAAGGATCCGTATAGGCAATTGCAATAATCCAGTTTGGATAAAATCAATAATTCTGCTAGTTGTTTTCTCAATGAGAACGGCATGAAACGTTCTATCTAACTCCCTCCCAATGACCTCGCTACAGTTATCCAAATTCTTTACCTTACAATGTTTGTATAAACTAGTATCGTCCGCATATTGTAGATAATTGCAATCGGATGATTTCTCATCTTGTAGATCGGCCATATATAAGTTAAAGAGAATTGGACCCAGAATTGACCCTAGTGGAACACCGAATGTTACTGGTAGCAATCTTGACTGTCGATCATCAATTTGTACAAACTGTTGTCTGCCATCTAAATAACTATAAATCCATATGAAAAAATCCTTTGAAAAACCTATCCGATGAAATTTATTCAGTAGCACCTGGAAATCAACCGTCTCAAAAGCCTTTGAATAGTCAGTAAAGACTGCCAATGTTATTTCCCCTTTTTTCATTGCTCTCAAGATATCATCCTTAAGTTTCAACAGAACGGCCATGGTTGAGTGACCCTTACGGAAACCGGACATTGTCTCTTTATACAAACTGTGTTCTTCAATATACTCAACTTGGGATAGCACCAGGCGTTCAAATACCTTTGATAAAATTGGCAGCACTGACACTGGTCTAAAATCACTATTCTCTATCGGTTCACTGATTTTCGGGATAGGACTAATACGTCCTATTTTCCACGAGGAAGGAAACATATTGTGTGCGATGCATTCGTTAATTATATGGGTCAACGGAGAGATAATATATTGGGAAGCCATTTTCAAATAGTTCACAGGTAGATGGTCATGACCTGTAGAACAATCATTCCGTATACCATTAAGCTATTTGCTTACTTCGCCAAAATTTACCTTTCGCATCCTAAAGCACGTATCCCCACTAGATTCTGATAGGGAGTCAACATATTCGACAACACCGACTCTTTGTTTTGGGTACGAACCCAAAATGCGTTCTGCGGTAGTCGGAAAAAAATTGTTCAACTCATCCGGGTCTTGACGGATTTTCTTCCTACTTGGGTTTAATATTCGATGTAGTATCATCCAAACAACCGTCGAGCGTTTTGATGATAACGCTTTTGAATAGAAAGTTCGTTTTGCAGTTTTTATAGCTGTTTTGATTTTATTAAGAACTAAGCGGAACAGTGACCAGTCAGACTCTGCTTGGGTTGGGCGGGCAGTAGATCGTAAATGGTCTCTCTCTCTCTCTTTCTGTAGATGTTTAATGTTCACATCTTGCAGCCAAGGAGCAGGAGGTCGAGTTATCTTACATCGCACAAGTTGGGCATGTCGGTCGATGCAACTACGGAGCAATTCATTTAGTATAGTGATCTTTTCGTCTGGATCATCTACTGCATATACTTACATCGCACAAGTTGGGCATGTCGGTCGATGCAACTACGGAGCAATTCATTTAGTATAGTGATCTTTTCGTCTGGATCATCTACTGCATATACCAGCGAAAATGGTAATTCGCTAATATCCTGCAAATACTCTTCAGAACAAAATGATTTCACTGATCGAATATATTTAAATCTGGCTTCAAATCTATACAATCATCGTCTCTACATTTATGTGTTATATTACATGAACGACAACTTAATACGACAATATGTTCGTGCGTAGCAAATACAAGTTATACAACATACAAACTCCCACCCACAATTATAAATGTTTGCCGGTTCAGTACATTTATCATGTTCACAAGTTATAGTCCACATTTCTATCATTTCTTCTACATCAAACATTTGGCAATCCATTTCAAACAAACATCTATCACACCATGGATAATAAAATAAATGGATAGGAAACTAGCTGACGTGACCTAATGTTTTCAAAGGGCTGATGGCGTGATTGGATGTTGAAACCTAGTTGCAAACTAAATTCGCAAAAACGACATGTTTAGCAATAATACAGCTAAACATTTTAGTCAAAGAGCAAATAATATAACTACGCCATTCTACGATGAAATCTCTAAGTATTCCCAGTCAATTTTAGCAAATATTTCAAGCAATAAACAGTGAAAAATGCATCGCAAATTTCGTTAAAATTGGCGACGCCAATTTCGTAGCTACAAATGTAAAAAAATACAAAACAAAGACGAAAAACATTTACCTTGAATACTTTGTCGTGGCTTAGGCATGATTTTGAAACAATTAGACCAGTTTATTCTTCAATATTACTCTTTTAAAGCGGAAAATATAGCGAAACGACAAAAATGCTGAGAACTTTGCAATACGCGTGACGTCACAGATTGCAACTACACACGTAAAAATCAAGATGTGTTTCACAACAGGCTTGTAGCAAGCTTGTCAACAAGTTGTAACAATGCTTTTATTTCATCAAGTTGCTACAAGGTTGTCACTCACAACTTGTTAACAAGTTGTAGAATTGCAGGACGATAACAGGTTGTTGCAACAACTTGTAACAAGTTTGTTGAGCTCAACAACCTTGTAGCAAGTTGTTAACAAGCTGTTGACAGCTTTGTCGACAAGCTGGGAACAAAGCGAGAACGAACACATCCCGTTGACAAGT